GGTAAAGGTAGGAGAAAAATTATTGCTTACTTTTTAATTTCTTTCAACCATTCAAAATTTCAACTTAAAGGTACGAGAAAATTTTCCTTGCTAAATAACGTTAGTTTAAAGAGCATAATTTCTATGCCTTACCTAGTGAAAATTATATAAATGCCAAAAAATTCAAAACTTTCGTAGGCAAATGCCAGTAATTGAACGCTTAATTTTGTTTTACCTTTAAATTATTGGAAGTGGGCAACATGGTTTTAATAAAATAAGCAATTACAAATTTTATTTTAAATATTGTTGTTGTATACAGATTTTAATGGAAGGAGAAGAGAGAAAGAAGAAGCATTATAACACATATATATATATAACATTTCATATTTTGCTAATTTGGCTAATTTATATCGTTTTCGATAATAATTACTAACTCCTTGGCCTAAACTATGCATTCACACACTTTCGTATATATAACAATCACTTATTTCCACAACTTGGCGCATGTGCAGCAGTCTGCCTTTCAACGACCAATAGCGAGTGTCTAGGTGAACGTGGACAATAGCAAACTCTAGATGCAGCGGGATTCAATGTTTGATAATCATAGTTCTCATTATCATCAGTCATAAAGTAGCTGCGCATTCAACGAAATCGAATCATGTCGGTGCTATTACCGCTGGAAGAAGAGATGTAATCCTCAAAACTTTCAGTCGGAAAAATCTATGACATCTAGGAAAGTTTATCCTACGGGAGAGATTGTTGTTTCACTGGGTCTATCTAGCACATAAGGAGTCAGGATGAAGCTGAGGCATCTGATACTGTACGCATTTTAGTACTATTTTGTCGTCTCGTTTTAAAGTCGATTACCGTTCATAGGATTCTAGGAAACGATTGTCGATGGCTAGTACTTTCCCTAAAGTCTGTATTATTAACGAGGCATTCATACGACTATTGTTTAATTTGTCTATGAAAATTAAACACGTATATCGTATCGTATCATATTTGAAAATTAGCGATCAAGATATTTGTAAATTTATAACCTCCGAAAATCGGAAAGCATCGCCATTGTTTCGGAAAGTTTTTTTTTTTTTTTTTTTTTTTGTCCTAAGGATCATTTCTGGCCGTCAACATTGATGGCGTGCAAACGTATGAGTCGGAAATAGTCATGCAATACTTTCTTGTAATGTGCGATCTTGATTATCCGGGACCTTCATAATTGTACCCACCAGCATTTACAGTTTGGTTATTTGACCTTAAGTCTTTATCTTATTATCGCCTGTATTAAGATACTGTAGTAAAATACTTTATAGAGTAGAGCTATCTGCATTTACTGTATGTCTCTAAGCCTAATTATATGTTTCGTCTCTCTACAGTATCGTGCCTCAGGTAGGCTCATTCTTCAATTTCATCGCAATGCAGATGTTCACAGCAAAATGGTTTGTTTACATGGCAATCCTGACCCTAAGCAAAGGGTAGGTTTCGACACATTTTAATAGCTTATATCTTATTTTAGGATTTAAAAACCCTGACAATTCCCATCCGTTGCATTAACCAGACATAAAATTCTTTTTTTTATTAGGAGATCTATATCTGTCTCTTATACACATCTAGATGTGTATAAGACACAGATACCAGACACAAAAAAAATATTTGGTATTATTTTAGTATACTAACATCAGATGGATGATGTTTGTGTACTAAACCAAATAATTTGACAGTAAATTATTGTAGTACAAGCATGGAGGAAACAGTTCATTCCATCTGATCTGTTCCATTGATATCGAGTCAAAGATATAAACTGGTCATTATTACAACATTGGTGTAAATCAGCTTCAGTCAAGTGACTGAAATCATACAACGATGACGACAATCCTTCAATTAACTGTTATATTACCCATGTTTAGATGCAGTATGAATATTTATTATTGATTTAGTTGCCATTAAGACATTAGGGTAATGTTAAAGCGAACAATTTAGTTAGTAATTTTGCTAATGAATCTTAGAAAAATTAAAAGATTAATCTCTTCTAGTAGATCTAAGTGGGCACCATTAACCTTTATGGTAAAGATTTACTTCTACTTAATACTAAACTAAAAGGTAAATATAAAGGTAAAGGTAGGAGAAAAATTATTGCTTACTTTTTACTTTCTTTCAACCATTCAAAATGTTCAACTTAAAGGTACGAGAAAATTTTCCTTGCTAAATAACGTTAGTTTAAAGAGCATAATTTCTATGCCTTACCTAGTGAAAATTATATAAATGCCAAAAAATTCAAAACTTTCGTAGGCAAATGCCAGTAATTGAACGCTTAATTTTGTTTTACCTTTAAATTATTGGAAGTGGGCAACATGGTTTTAATAAAATAAGCAATTACAAATTTTATTTTAAATATTGTTGTTGTATACAGATTTTAATGGAAGGAGAAGAGAGAAAGAAGAAGCATTATAACACATATATATATATAACATTTCATATTTTGCTAATTTGGCTAATTTATATCGTTTTCGATAATAATTACTAACTCCTTGGCCTAAACTATGCATTCACACACTTTCGTATATATAACAATCACTTATTTCCACAACTTGGCGCATGTGCAGCAGTCTGCCTTTCAACGACCAATAGCGAGTGTCTAGGTGAACGTGGACAATAGCAAACTCTAGATGCAGCGGGATTCAATGTTTGATAATCATAGTTCTCATTATCATCAGTCATAAAGTAGCTGCGCATCCAACGAAATCGAATCATGTCGGTGCTATTACCGCTAGAAGAAGAGATGTAATCCTCAAAACTTTCAGTCGGAAAAATCTATGACATCTAGGAAAGTTTATCCTACGGGAGAGATTGTTGTTTCACTGGGTCTATCTAGCACATAAGGAGTCAGGATGAAGTTGAGGCATCTGATACTGTACGCATTTTAGTACTATTTTGTCGTCTCGTTTTAAAGTCGATTACCGTTCATAGGATTCTAGGAAACGATTGTCGATGGCTAGTACTTTCCCTAAAGTCTGTATTATTAACGAGGCATTCATACGACTATTGTTTAATTTGTCTATGAAAATTAAACACGTATATCGTATCGTATCATATTTGAAAATTAGCGATCAAGATATTTGTAAATTTATAACCTCCGAAAATCGGAAAGCATCGCCATTGTTTCGGAAAGTTTTTTTTTTTTTTTTTTTTTTTTTTTTTTTTTTTTTTGTCCTAAGGATCATTTCTGGCCGTCAACATTGATGGCGTGCAAACGTATGAGTCGGAAATAGTCATGCAATACTTTCTTGTAATGTGCGATCTTGATTATCCGGGACCTTCATAATTGTACCCACCAGCATTTACAGTTTGGTTATTTGACCTTAAGTCTTTATCTTATTATCGCCTGTATTAAGATACTGTAGTAAAATACTTTATAGAGTAGAGCTATCTGCATTTACTGTATGTCTCTAAGCCTAATTATATGTTTCGTCTCTCTACAGTATCGTGCCTCAGGTAGGCTCATTCTTCAATTTCATCGCAATGCAGATGTTCACAGCAAAATGGTTTGTTTACATGGCAATCCTGACCCTAAGCAAAGGGTAGGTTTCGACACATTTTAATAGCTTATATCTTATTTTAGGATTTAAAAACCCTGACAATTCCCATCCGTTGCATTAACCAGACATAAAATTCTTTTTTTTATTAGGAGATCTATATTTACGTCACTGAAAAATTTCAAGTTATACATATTATTCAAATTAGACATCGTATTAATAACATTAAATTGCTAAGAATTATAATTTTTAACGAGCAGCATAATGATGAGATTATGATGTAATTATAATCATAATTATGTAATCATAATCATTGATTAATCATACTCATAATCCTTGTACGATGTTTTCAATTTACATCCCTCCTAAAAAAAGAACTACAAATCTCCATGGTATAATTATAGTATCAAATTACAAATTGATGTTGTCTGTTTTCTCAATACAGTAAATATGCATCTTCTCTATACTTTCATTTTGGTAATTTTGCTCTCAGTTCTTTTTATTAGCTTTGTCTACACTATCAAATTTCATTTAAAAAAAAAGTCACATACAATTTGATTGAACATAGAGTTGAACACGTTCAATTTTTTTGACATAATTTGATGATAGGTGATATGACGTCATCGTACCCATATATTTGCACATCACATTTTTTGTCACATAAAATTTGATAGTTTAGACAGAGTTTTAGAGCATCACAGTTTTCAACATCATCATCATCATCATCATCATCATCATCATCATCATCATCATCATCATCATCATCATCATCATCATCATCATTATCATCATCATCATCACCATCGTCATCATATGCTTTTAATCTTCAATCATTCACTAGATTATTGTACAATAACGTTTTACCACATAGAATGTAAGGTGAAAGGTAGTCCAGGTCAACATTTACATGTCCGGTATACATTCATCCAATAATAACAATACGGGACAAGGAAAGCAAATAGCAGGAGAAAGCAACCCCGAAGAAAGAGTATAATTATTAATATGTTTCCAGTAATAACCTTTAAAGTATTGAAAACTCGAGTCAGCATTTCCAACAGCCTTGACATACAGACACAAGCCTTTTATTTGGTTCTATTTTCAACGGGAACAATACGAAATTCAAAATCTACTTGGCACTAATAATACTATAATTAAACATGTTCTTTGTACTGGTTGCCAAGGTCAGGAATTATAGTCATAGATTTTCTTTCATTAGCATTGCAAATTAGTCATTCTTCTTTTAAATAGGAAAATCATAAAATCACCTGGAGGGAATGCTGATATATAACACAAGTAGTTAAACAATAGGAACAAAATAATTGCTTCTAGTAAGCGGTACTGAAATATCATTGCTTTCTGTGGATCGTGGCAGAGATAATTATTGGTATCATCATCAGAAAAACAATTAAATATTTTTTGCTTTCTAACTCGACAATAATGGTTTGATAGCACATTAGGCTTTTAATATCGATGACTACCTATTGGGCCGGCACTTTGCACTTAGTGTTTTATACAGATGGGGATGTAAGACTCTTAATCTGCATTTAAATTTATCAATCATACATAAGCTCCGCTGCATCCCTTCCCTAGTCGCATTGAAATACTTATTTACTTACTTAGTACTTTACCTTTCCACTACCTACGTGACAATGATCATAACACCGAACTACACTACTGTACAATTTTTGTTGGAGCCTTCAAAACACTATAGAACATTAATTTTTGTTCTTAATAAAATGAATTTGAATTAGCAAAATATATTTTTAAAAGCAAGATAAAATAAATTAAGAAATATTGTAAATCATTCAAATATTATTAATATCTTATTTTATATGGTACCACATGCTGTGATAATGCTGTCTTCTGCATTCATAGTTGGCAAGCTCATTACTAATATCAAAGACACAGGATCAATACAAAGTATTGCTTAATTATATCAATGGCAACAATAAAGATCCTACGGATTTTTTTTTCTCTAAACTTATTTGGGAAATATATAAAAAATAATGAAAAAATGTATATGTGTAATCGCAGTCATTGCTATATTATTTCATTTATTTCATAGTATATTATATTTTACAATATAAATAATATTATTATTAATATAATTATTATTGTTATTATTATATTTATTATGATTGTGTGTCGATTTGTTACTATCACAAGACCTATATATAATTTGTCTATTTGTTTAGATATATACAAATATATATATATATATATGTATATATATACAGATAAATAATATATTTCATAATGATAATGATAATGATAAATAATATTTTGATAATGATTTAAATATATGTATATATAAACATATATATACACGTATATATATGCCTTATATTAAACATGATATACACACCTCAATGAGTTAAATATATATATATATATATATATAGAACTGGAGGTCGCTGGAACAGAATGTTGCTACTCGGAGTTTCACGCTATTGCGATCGTCAGGCA